CACCATCATCACCACCATCACCACCATCATCACCATCATCACCACCACCACCACCATCATCATTTATCGAGGACCTACTATGTGCAGGGAACTCCACAAAGCACCTTCTACACATTTTCTCATTTAGTCTTTTCAATAACCCATGAGATAGGTACTAGTGAGTATAAGGCTTGTTTTACAGGTGAAGAAACTGAGTCTCTGAGGGTAAGTGACTTTGCCCAAGGTCACACAGCCAATGAATATGAGAGCCAGAAATTAAATCTCATTGGTCTTGAAGCCTGTATGGCCTCCCCAAAGTGAAAACATTTAATTGAAATGTAAACAGTTGGGACACTGGTTGATATCTGGGACTTTCTGAGACATACTGGGCGTGGTCTCTGGGCAAGAGAAATGCAATTCTTTGGAGTGAGAGCTGAGGGAGATGACATCGCCAGGCCAGAGGAGCCTGCTTGGCCTCACGGGGGAACAGCCACCCCCAAGCAGAGAAGGACAGATACACAGCCCTGACTCAGAAGAAAGCCAAGAGGTGGGGAGAGGGAGACGGTGGGAAGACTGCGGATTGGGCCTGAAACTGAAAAAGAAAATAGGAAAGGTGCACAGCTAAGAGCATGGGTTTAAGTATAGACCGATCTGGGTTCAAGTACTGGTGTGCGACATGTTAGCTGTGAGACCCTGGGCAAGCCCCTTCACTTCTCCAAGACGTCACGTAGGACAGTACCTGGGCCACTGTAGCTGGACACTGCACAGTAACCATTAGGACCATCCTCTTGGGGCTCTTGAGAAAGAAGAGCTGCCGAGCATGAACCCCCAGCCCGCCCCCTCTAACCGTGTCCTTGAGCCGAGTCGCCTACACCTCTCTGAGCCTCAGTGTCCTCCTTCAGAAAGCAGAAAGTCACAGCCCCCAGCTTTCTGCGTGATTGCGTGGCCCGGCAGATACACAGGCCAAGAGTGGCCTCCTCCAGCCAACAAAGATGAGCTCACTCCAGTCCTCTGGGCTTGCAGCCGCGGAGTCATTAAGCAGATGAGTTGTGTGTGATGTGTGTTAATTACCTGGTATGTGATGGTGTCCGTGGCAGTGGCTGTTATTAATAGAAAGCCCCACCCACTCACCACATTGTCTGCCTGTGTCAGTCTGGGGCAGTCTGATGCCCTCTCTGGGCTTCAACTTATCTATCTAAAAAGTGGGAGGAGGTTGAGATTGAGTCTAATGTTTGGGCATGTGGGTCCATAGAAACCTTCTAGCACCGAGGACGAGAATGTGGAATGGTGCAGCCATCCTGGAGAGGGAGCTGGGGTTTCTTACTCAGAGTAGACAGAGACATGCCACCTGAGA